AATCGAGCTGGGTTCAGTGGAACCTAGTTGTTGGGTTCCTCAAACCCAGCAAATCTGGGTTTTGAGTTCGACGAAACCCAGCTTGGGTTCCACCAAACCCAATAGATCTGGGTTCGATGGGACTTAGTTTGCTGGGTTCCATTGAACTCGAGCTGATCTGGGTTCAAGGGAACTCATCAACACAGAGAAGGAAGAGGAAGAAGAAGAAGAAAGAAAAGAAGATATGGGTATTAAGGTAAATTTGTAGTTTTTATTTTTTATTAAAAATATAAATAATAATATATATGAGTTGGCATAATGACATGTTATAAAAAAATATCTAGATCATTACCTTTTTAAGTTGTTTTCGTCATATCATAAAAAAAAATATAAAAAATACCACATGGACGAAGTTAACGGTCCTAAGTGACGGAAGGACAAACGTTATGCATTTCTTAGAGTCGAGAAATAAAAAATGTGCACAAAATACTTTAGGGATCAAAAATGTGTAAACTGATAAAGTTGAGGGATCATAATGAGCATTTAACCTATTTCTTAAATAAAAGTATGATCAGAGGAAAATACCATGTGTTCACATGCAAAGGCATTACGAAAGTACTAACGAGGAGTTGGATCAAGTGGTAAGCGGCTTGTTCTAACTTAAGTAAGATCTAGAGTTCGAGACCTTGTGTACGTAGCAGCTTTTGTTGGGAGACTCACTCACCATTTCCAGGTGCACGATGCGGATCAATCCGAATTAGTCGGGACGAAGTCCCGAATATCGAGTACCGAATACTGAATACCGAATACCAAACGGGAAACCAAAAAAAAAAAAAAAAAAAGGCATTACGAAAGTCTTCACTTCCAGCTGAGTGGGTAACGAGTGGTGACAATAAAGACTCAAGACTACGGCATGTGGATGTGGAGCAGAACCCTACTAAATCCCAACTGACAGGTATGTCTTCCGTTGGAGTTGGACCGTGGAAGAAAATTAGAATCTCACACGTCAATCATACAAATTTCTCATGCCAAGCCTATGCGGTGTTGACCAAAATTGTTAGTATTGTCTTAAAAGATAACAATTTTATTTGATTTGAGTTAATTATTTTTTAATGATTTGATTAAAATTTCGTTATGAATTAAGTGAAAATGTTTTGTGTCTCAAATAAGCAAAAAAATATTAATCGAATTTATCAAGAAAGTTTTTCTTAAAAAAT